CTGAATCTCCGTCAAACGCTTTGAACACGAACACGGCTTGTCCAAGAAACTCTCAAACAAATGGTTCGGTCTCTTCCCCATCATTGAACAAACCTCCCCCGTCAACTACAAACTCCAACTTCCCCCTGACATGAGTCGTGTCCACCCAGTCTTCCATGTCGAGTACCAAAAAGAATACCATGAATCCCCGCCCCAATTTGCCGACCGCCCATATCCTAGACCTCCACCAATCATGCTACCCCTGAATTCGTTGTCGAAACCATCATCGACCGATGCACTACTCAGGTACCTGACCATCCGAAACCAATCACTGAATACAAAGTCAAATGGACCGAAGAATCTACATGGGAATCTCTCTCTACTCTTAAGACTGTCATGAAACTTATTGGCTTATGATCGTGCTAATCCTATGTCGTAGATACCTATATAACTATGGCATAAATCCCCTCTAAACCCTCGCAACCCTGCTCTACACACACCCTTGAACCCAACCACCCTCCCCTTGACCCTGATTCTTGATGTCCGATCTGCCCTTACCTTCACCTAGCCTTGTCCCATCTGTCCTCTCCACTACCTTGTCTCTCTTGTCCACTGCTTGTGGACCTGCGTGACGCCGGCGATAAAGGATCTAATGGCAAGCGCGCGAGGACGATGGCCTGCTGCCTCACTGTTCATGGAGATTATGCAGCTGGTTTGGCCACCAAGTTGTTTCATCGGCCGGCATCCCGACTCGCGGACTTACTGGAGCAGCAACTTGTGACATGGATCTTTGCATCAGTCTGCGACTTCCTTCCTTCCAGATCAGACCTCAGTGCACTTCGACTTTGACATTTAACTACTACTACGCTTTTTGGACTTCTACCTGTTGCAGCCGCTGAAAACCACTTCTACCACCTACTCCAAAGACCTGATCAAGACTGCCACAGACCCTGTTTCAAGACACTTGGACACCTTGTTCCTACCCGAGATTCTGCTTCCGACCCCTTCGAACACACCAGCCCTTGCATCTTGAACAAACATTTTCATTTTTATTTTTCCTGACTTTGACAAGCCTGTAGAACATCATTAGCAGATCCCTGCTTCCCTAACTATTGTTCCTCGTACCCATTAGAACATTAATAGACATTCCCTGTTCCCCCTCACCATTGTTTCCCTTACCCACTAGAACATCAATAGAAATACCCTGTTTTCATGAACACATTTTCCCTCACCCAGTAGAACATCAATAGAAGTTCCGTGTTCCCTGACCTTTGTTCCCTCTTAACTTATAGCAAACGATGCAGTCCACTTAGTTCATCACTAAGACAACCCTGTTCACCGGTACCAAACCCTGTTCCCTCTTACTCCTGCAACCCATGCCACCCACATTATACCCCTCTTCCCTTTCGAATTGTTAACCAGTGATCGGCCGCATCCCGTCCTTCACAGATTTCAGCATTGGTTCATGATTTTTGGCAGCCGGGACGTTGCCTTTCTAAAGGGAGGGGATAGTGTTACGGCCACGCCAGGGCTCGATCCCTGGTCTATCTTCTCGCTGTTTCGGCTGCATCCCGTTTTTGGCCTGGCACCCTTTTTCCAAACCCCTCCTTTGGTACCGCAGGATTTTGGACAACTGGCGCCATGCTGCAATTCGGGCGCCACTTTCAAATACCGCATTTTTCAGTTGTGCCCTCGGGGCCTTTGCAGAAATTCCCTTGGTACCGTACGTGTCACTGGCACTTATACCGGCTCCCTGTACGGTACGAGGACCAGTCTCGTACCAGTTTTCTGCTGCTATACTTGTGCTTCGGTGCGACTTGCTTCGACATTGTGTTCGGAAACCCCAAGACTTTGACTTTGCGACTTCGCCACTTCGTGTCTGCGTCCGTCGAGTCGTCTCGAGTCTGCGTCGAGTTGAGCGAGGGTGTGTGTGTGCTCTCACTCTCTCCCTCTCTCTCCCAGCCTCGTTGCCTCAGCCCCATCACAGATGGAGTTACATTTGGGATGGAGTCCTCGTAGACCTATAGATTGTCTAAACCAGGAACCAAAGAGTTCGCAAATTCGCAATGCAATACCAAAAAAAATTCGAAAAGGTAAATGAGAACATAATAAAAGCGCAACATCAAATGATTGAGCAGGCCAAAAAGCACAGGAGACCACCTCAGTTTGCTGTAGGTGATCTGGTTTGGGTAAAATCGAAGGAGTTTATCCCAGAAGAAATTCTTACCTGCCTACAGAGGACCGTGACAAGTATTCGATGTGATAGGAGATGTAGATGGACCCTCCTATGTTATTGAGATACCTCCACACTTGCATACATACCCGGTGTTCCACACGTCAAAGCTCTTACCTTGTGTAACTAATGAACTATTTCTCAGTCGAAGGTTAGCAATTCCTCCAAGTATGGATGGGAAATTTGATGTTGATAAGATCGTTGCTGAAGTACTGTCCAGACTGGACGCAGAGGTAGACCTCATCGGCAATATAAAGTCAGATGCACATATCAAGATCCAAGTGAAGACCGTTGGTTTACTAGGGAAGAGCCAATTAAAACTGCACCGAACATAGTATCTTACTATGAAAGAGCAAGAAGAGGTGTCAATATTGTGGACAGACAAGGGTTTCTCAGAGGACTTGCGAATTAGGCCGGCGAGAGTAAAAGGGCCTTTAGGAATTAAACCCCAGATGAATGCCCCAACAGCGAGGGGCCCTGTCAGCCAGAACTTAAATTCACGAGCAGCAACCCAAAAGACAAAGTTCCTAAGGCAAATGTCGCATCCATAATGAAATGAAAAGTCGTTTTGAACAGTCACAAACAGGTCCTGCACAAACAGGTATTGGACAGTTTTCAAGACTGAGTTAGGGTCATGTCTCCTCGATGGAAAGTCATTTCTGTTCGGAAAGGAGTCAAAAGCCAGAGTCCCAGTCCAGTCATAATCCCATGAATCAGTCCTGATTCAGACCAGGAGTCCAAAAGGCAGGCCCCATGGCCCAAAGCAGCAGCAGACCATGGGAAAAGATACTGGGACATACACTTTGCAACAACAGGTACTGGGCAGGAGTCCCAGACACTTGAGGCTGAATACAGGCCACGCCAGGCCAGCCCAGCACTATAAAGGACTGGCCAACCTCCCATTTGGACAGATGCTTACTTCGCATGAGAGTGAGGAAGTGCCATGGCACTTGTGCGCTAGATGTGTGTGAGCTGCGCTAGGCTGAAGAGCAGCGCTATGTGAGAGGGAAGTGAGCGCTGGCCGGGGGGAAGGCAGCCATAGCTGCGCCAGCGCTGTTAGTATACTCGTAGAGGTAGTCAGTAGGAGACACCAGTGAGTAGTATTCAGAGTAGATCCTCATGTGATAGGGAGTGTGCATGCATGATGAGTGAGAAAAGATCAGGACCATAGACAGAAGGAGAGAAGAGAGAGATCAAGGGGAAGGGGTGAGCTATGATGACACCAACCTGTTGAGCGCTGTTGTTGACGTTTGGCAGCTGGTGCTGATGAGCGCCAGGCCTGGGAACTCATGTTTATTGAAGAAGACTTGTGACTCTGTTCGGCACTGTACATTTTGGACTCTTGATGTTTTCTCTTTAATCTGAGATTTAATAATTGAGTTGAGCTTCCGGGTCCTCATTCATCTTCTGTTGGGCTTTGTGTGAGACATCCCAATCTGTGAAATCTGTATAAATGCATGTGATCTGAAGCACTCCAGCAAGTGATGAACAGTCGGGTTCCTTGCAACTTCTGCACACACAACACCGCTGGAGATAGAAATGGTGCACTTCGCCCTGCTCCAACATGTTGCATGCATTAGAGAAAAGCACCACTACAAAAGACACCACCGGGATAAGTCTGAAAAACTAATGAACGGGCAAAAAAAAAACATCACTTCCTCTGTGTCCGCATCCCCGTCCTGACCGGCCAAACCCCGACCCTCTCATCGTCCTTATCCTGCATCTTGTTTCTCCCCTCTTCGTCCTTCTCCTGCTTCTCCAGCCCTTCAAGATTTCAATTGTACCTTTCTCTATAGAAGGTTGTGAAGGGTGTAGGGGATAGAGCCAAGGGAGGATGTCTGGCAGGAGGCTGGGCGCACCAAGTTCAGCCCACCTTGCCAGCGCAGTGAGCCCACCCGGACCCAGAGGACACTCAAGCCAGAGCTCTCAACCTCGGGCACACACGCGGGAGGTATCTACCAAGATTGCCGCTGCTTGGTCCCAGGCATGGGGCACACCACACTGAGTTCAGGCTCAGGAGAGTTGCACGGTGACCACTGACCCGTCCTCCAAATCTCTTGATCCCAGACGCATCCGTCAATGGTCCATGTGTGAGAGGACATCTTTCTCTGTCTGACACTCGATGTTAGCCACACACACGTGGCCCTTGTTGTGTGACTCATAGGTGTTTCCTATGTATGTAGGTGCTAGGGTTCAGGGGGCAGGGGAGTACTGCAGGTCAGCGAAGTCTATGGGACTCACTCCGCTACTCAACATTCTGTGTGTACATGGATGGGACATGGCCCAGATACATTCAGACTGATCCACCATTCCTAATGTATCAGAACTGCTTGACGGTGATGATACATTCAGAATGCTGTGCAGTGGAGCAAGGTCCTGTCACACATTGAGATAGACGGAAAAAAGGCGCTGACCCAGCCCGTGTGGCCCAATGGTAGACCCATTTGCTTTTTTTTTTTGCTAACAAATGGACCAATTTATTTTTTTCGCTGTTCGACCACACGGACGGGAACAAAGCATAAGGAAAAGCCACTGACACACTGCCGGCTGCCATTCAAGAAAAGCATACCCCGCCAGGGCCTGCCCGCCTCACATCCAGTGAAAACGTTTCTATTTTTTCAGTTCTCTTCCTTAAGGGTGAGATGAAATCACAGTGTCGATAGGATTTTTCACATCAAATGCGTCATTCTTCCATCCGACGCAGCCCTTCGGAAGGAGGAATTCTTCCATCTAACAGAGCCCAACAAGAGCAGGAAAAGGAAGACATAGTGGCCATCTGGGCGGGTGAAATTTGGAGACAAAAAGGCCGCCCAGATAAAATTCGATGGCGTAAAAAAGCCCAGTCAAACACATCATCACACACACACACACACACACACACACACACACACACACACACACACACACACACGCACACACACAGCTGGAGCCAAAATGAGTCACAAGAAGGTCCTGTGTACACAACATGCATGCACGAAAACATCAACATCCACATCCACACCCACACCCACACACAGCTGGAGACAGAATAAGTGACCAGGGTTTCAACCCATGACAGAAAGAGCTATTATTGAATAGTCCAGGGTTTCAACCCATGACAGAAAGGAGATGTACTGGAGAGAAACAGCACAGACAAAACACCCCTTCAGTACTTGCCCCAAAAGGCGCCAAATAAATGATCATTTACAACTCTTTTGCAGTGTAACGATCTGATAGATTTGCTAGCCTGAGGATATTACTCAGGTGACACCCTCACAGAAACTAGAACTGGGCTTGCATTCTTTCATTCCATATTCTTAAATCGTCACCTCTGCCCCCATCTCCTACTCAGATTATCCTGCACCCTCAAGAGAGGGATAGGGAGAGGGGTAGATCAACCAAGACTGACAAAACTGACCCTATAAATACCCTGGACTCCACAGCTACCAGTACAAACATTATACTGGTCAAGGAACAGGGCATGCCCTACGCAACTGTTCAGAGGAAGAGACAAACCCATCAAACAGACCGCTATGGTCTGACACTCTCTCTCTCTCTCTCTCTCTCTCTCTCTCTCTCACACACACACACACACACACACACACACACACACACACACACACACATGCATGCACTCGTCCGCATCTTCTCTCAGTAGATGGACACACAAACAAGTGCATCGATCTACCACAAACTGTTTAGTGCTGCTCTTATATCAAATGCGCACATATCACATCATGGCTCACAACCTTCATGACGAAGTGAATAGGGAACCCACCCCCTTCCGACAGAGCATGGCCTCATCCACCTGCCAAGTTTCATTCTCTCTCTCTCTCTCTCTCCACGCACCGTTCAGACAATCTCCAAGAGCTGAACATTCCCACTACCCAGCTTACAGTCCTGTCACTCAGTCTCGATTCTCCACAGTCCATTCTGCTGGCATAGCAAAGAGGAGAGGCCCATGCGCTTGCAGCATGACCACAGAGCTGCAGGTATCCCACTTCCCCTCTCTGATGATTCATTGCGCCAACGCACCTGCTGACTATGTGAGAATGCACAGAAGCATATGCGACCCCTCCATGAACCCTCTGTACGAGCTTCTGTGCAACCACTAGAGGCAAGACACACATGGACAGGACTTGATGAAATTCCATTCACATCCTGCACCACTCGCCACAAAAGCTGAAAGACAGAAACTACCTCACCAGCAGGTCTTCCCAACCACTTGACAAGTGAGACAGATATGTATTCCCCTCCTTAAATACAAATGCCAGAGAACAACACTGTTGAAGATCGATACATGCTACGCTTTCCTGACAAAAGGGTTTTCAGCCTCTGCAACCCTTCCACCCTGGAAAGGCATGATAACCCATGCACGAAAGGAAAAGTGCACATTAAAAAAGTTGTGCACATGCTGGGGATCGTTTACTGCAAATTAGCAGCTGCGTCATTAGCGCAGCTTGTGTAATCGAGGCTTCGAGCAGAAATCTCGACCACGTGCCCTCACAGCAGCAAAGCCCACAGCAGTCAATGTAGCACAAAGGAATGCAACTGGGACTTGAGAGCTCTGCGTAGTAACTGCAATCACCACAACAAGGCACCAAACTGTTGTAAGGCCATTGATTTTTTCATTCCTCGAGCAGAACACAGACTTCCGCGGAAAAGCTAGAACCATGTGCTTATCTGGCAAGGAAGAGCTTCAGAAGAGAGAGAGAGAGAGAGAGAGAGAGAGAGAGAGAGAGAGAGAGAGAGAGAGAGAGAGAGAGAGAGAGAGAGAGAGAGAGAGAGAGAGAG